GAACATTTTAGGTTAGGTGATAAATGTGCAGCTAAATCAACCAGGAGATGTACAAAATATTAGCAAGGAGTACGAAAACAAACTCTTTTGTTAACAGGATTCGTCTACAACGCCCATGCCGGTTTGAGAAGCATAAAATCGTGGATTCACAGTGAAAAAGTCCAGTCGTTAAAGTTGCAAGTGAAAGGATGTTTGTTGAGGTCGCCATTTTCGAAGATAATAGTTGCAATTAGCACAATTTACCGCCAAATTTCGAAACCTGGACGAGTGTATAGCATGTATGGCTTTCGTTTTTATCTACTAATAAAGTCTCTGAATATGTGATCTGTATGTAATACCTGAATCTGGGTTCTTGCAGACGGCGACGACGCTGGGCAGCTGCATGACTATCGTCTGTTCCAGCACATCCTGCAAGCAACAAAAAACAACCATAAACATCGGAACTCATTGCCATGTGTGCGTGCGTGCGTGCGTGCGTGCGTGCGTGCGTGCGTGCGTGCGTGCGTGGGCGTGTCCGCACCTGGATTCTCAGAGAGTCCCCTGCTTGATGCACGCATGTCCGCCCGACCCGCGGATATACGTCCGGACGCCTGACACACAGACGCATGCACAGCTGACATATGTACACCTGCTCAGAAGCATGTGCCCTTTACATACCTCTTAACACCACACAGCGTGAACCCCACCCAGTGCTCAGGTGCTATCTATCTATAGATGACCTCTTATAAAATTTCACAGCCAACTTGAGCTCTGCATGCCCCAGCAAACACGCTCTGATGAAAATCTTAGCAAGAAATACGTAATGCAATTTACAGCTATATTTAGGTGAAACAATTTCTTCACCCCGAACATTCACCTTTTGCCCTAATATACGATATGTCATTTTTCTGCACATCACTTCTGCACCACATTCATGAATGCATGTCGCACATTCGCACATCATCGCAAAACTGAAGCTCATGAAAAAGTAATTTACAATTAGTAATTTTACATGAATATTGACTCAATCTAAATAATTATGAAATCGGGCACATCCACGTCGAAACCAATAAGATCAAAATATCGATCGGACATCAAAAAACGTAAAACAACCTGTGTCCACGATATACAGCACTTATTATTATTACTAGTAGTAGTAGTAGTAGTAGTCAAATGTCGTGTACTGACTGTGATCATCTCAGAACGGTTCGAGGTCTAAGACAAACAGCCACATAGTATCTGGCGACCAGCAGAGTGCAAATAATGATTGGGGGCCACATGGCCTGTTGCATTACTTCAACGTCTATAAAATATGCACATAGACTTATTACAGACCATTCATCATGTTTTACAATCGCGTTTATACTATTATTGCATTATTGATGCATTTGTTCCCTACATTTTTTTTAAGCTATGCCAGGTCAACAATACAGCCAATAAAAGTGTAAGTAAAATATAAAAGATTTTAGAGCAGTCACCTGTATTCCGAAATGAGAACAGTACGATAATAAAGTCACATGTGGCATGGGCACCACTATAACTTTTCTCGATTCGAATTCACCTGCCTACCCTACACTCGCGCACACACGCAGCTACGACAATGCAGCCAATGCTATTGTCATCAAGATTTTACGCCCAATGTTAAATAATTTCGTGTTCTTTACACCTTTTCATACACTATAGCGCTAACTACATAACGCAAGCACACACACAGACATGCACACACCACACACACACACCAGCACGACCACCGCCGCCGCCGCCGCCGCACCCACCACCTCCACCACCACCATCAACATTCATCAGGTGCAAATTCAAGCACGTGAGAAATAAAAGGCGTCAATACAGAAACTCACTTCACGCAAGCACATGGTGGATGGGGGACGTGATGAAATGTAAGGCCACTCTGGCAAGCGCACTACTGGCAGGTAACCTGATAAGTACATTGGCAAGTGTGCTGCTGGCAAGTACCCTGGCAAGTGCGCTGGCAAAGCAAGTACCCCTCTCATTTTGTCCTCACCCAGGCGCGTACGTATACAGCACGCCATCAGTCACACTTCCCTCTAGCCTGGCATCACCACGCAACGCTCTCCTCCACACAGCCGCAGCTACGAGAAAACCATGCGCGAGAGAATGTCGGTGCACGCACGCGCACACCAGACGCACGCACGCACGAACACGCACGCACGCACGCACGAACACGCACGCACGCGCGATGCTACCCACTGCGCTCGAAAAGCATATCGGAGCGATAACGGCGAGGGGATGCTGCGCGGTGACTTTCACGCACACACGCACACAACGCGTTTTAGCATCGCTGCTTCGCGCGCAATATACACGTAGCTTGGCTGTGATGGAGTGCGAAGACGCTGCGGTGGCCGCCAGACACACCGCTGCGCTACGAAGCAAGTGTTTGTTTTCACAACTCCGCCGGGTAAACCCGGGGGCAGGTGAGCACTAGGCGGCCCCTGCACGCCTGCTCGCCCGCACGCAGGGCACGCGCGCACATCTCAGATAGCCAGCAATCAGCCACTGAGCAATACACGCTCTCTGGCCGCCTATGAATAGAACATCACTGACCACATGCGCCACGACCCGACGGTTTGACCACGATCCCATTTCCAACTCTAACCTTGCCCACAATCACTATACATAACCCCCCATAGCGAGTAATACATTGTTAATGCTGGACCACCCTACGTTACGGGCACACTGATCAGAATCCTTGAACATGCAATGAAGTTCATCGCATGTCGCCGATGAACGTAATTTTATTACAATACAATCCGACACTGGGACAGTCCGAGTGGCATAAATTTGCTGCTTCAGTTTCGAGTGCAGAAATTGAATTATCATCTCATTAGAACTAAAAATAATAAATGAATCCGAATGCGACATATTACACAATGCGCCCATTAGTGTATTCTTGAATTTTAAATGAGAATTACCAACATTAGCGTGTAATTATATATTATAAGCTCGTGACAGCAAAGACAAAAACATCCTCAGCAATTAGCATATATACAGTAAATCATGTCGAGTGAGATTCGCACATCGACCTCCTTCCCTCGGGTACTATTAATAATCCTCGTGTTTCATTGCTGCGATCTAACGGGAAAACAATAGCAGCTATTTAATTATTCACTGAAAAATTGTTTTGACACGAAGCGTGGGCAGAAACGCGGCATGACTCATGAGGGAATAACGTGTGCGTGAGGCTGCTGTTGTTGCTGCTGCTGCTGTTGCTGCTGCTGCTGCTGCTGCTGCTGCTGCTGCTGCTGCTGCTGCTGTTGTTGTTGTTGCTTCTGCTGCTGCTCATCCATGCCATAGTCGTCTGCTGCTAACTAACGAGCACAACTTCAAGACTCGCGCTAAATAGTTGGCGAGTTACATCGCAAGTCGACAGTTTTATGATACTCTCTCCGATGGCAACCGATAACGGACTCAAAGTCTACGTAATAAGATTGCGTTCGAAGATAAAGACGCAGATTTTCTGCACGTTACTGCGGATACATGTGCGCATATCCATTAATTTATTTCGATGAGATGGCTATAACCCAGATTACATAGTCTATTGCCGATCAGCCATCGCTTCGTTAATTATAACTCTTAGCGTATTAATAACGCGTAGGAGTCAGGTTCCAGTAGCACGTTAGGGTTGCTCCTGGTGGTGCCAGCTGGTCTGAGTCTACAGCTAGACCCGGCTGTATCCAAATAACTGTTTGGCTCACTTTGCCCAAAAACACCAAATAGCCCCCGCTTATTCGACGCGAGCAGGCGATACCGTGTTTATTATTTTAATAACAATATTCTACATTTAGTATATTTACACAGGTCAGCGAGTAACGAAACAGCACCTGGAACGAAAACTAATATGAAGGCAAGTGCACTCGCGCCATCCCTATCCACGCAATACAACGCTACGCTGTAACACGACGTGTTATCACACGCAGGTCATTTCCGTCTTATTACGGTTACGTGATCACCCGCGTTCAAATATCGCATTGCAACGAGATCACTGCCGAATTACTCATCTCCGTTGCAAATCCGAATGCATCGTCTCTTACACGCACGCCACTACGACTTCTAGCGCAAAGCAATCGGCTCACGGAAACAAATCAAGGCTTCCAATATGAAAAACGACGCAATCAAATGCGACTCGCTTGACATTCCTCGTTCATCTTTGCGACGGAGCATCGCCACACGTTGGCCAGCGCTAACGACCCGCAAGCTAGCTTCCCCTTCCCCTCCCCCGTTGCTAGACCCTCCTTTCAGCAGTGCATATTAGCAGGAGAGGAGCAGCCGCAGCTCACGGCGAGAGTAAGCGCACACAACCTCGCTCCAATAAGCAGAAGTCACATCCATCAAGAAGTCAATATGCGCACCAGCAGCAGCAGCAGAAGCAGCTAGGGCTGTCTCGCGTGCGGGTGGCCGAGGTGGCATGTTACCATGATATAACATTGCTCTAGAACTATAGCCCTTCGCTCTGACACAAGCGCCTGTGGCAGAGCGAAGGGCTAATAGTTCTAGAGCTAGATGTTACGTTGCTGTGTTAGGTTGGAATTCACCGTGTGCCTGTGTAACCTGCGAGGGGACATTACCAAAAGAACATAAACTCGATCCTTTTCAGTTACAAAGCGTACGTGCTCTTTACGTTACGTTTCTGTCCAACGTGGTGAGGGGGATATCTGTATAACTGTGGGTGGAGTGTGATGTACATGGGTAACCTTGGAGAGGAATGCTATGGCTATAGGGTAAACCAGCTAAATGTGTTAGACGGGAATAAGTGCGTGAAATAAGATACGTCAACGGCGTCAACACAGCTATACCTCTCCGCAACATAAATAAGACTCTCGCGCTTCTGTTTTTCTCTCACCTGGGGCACGTAACTCGCATTGCAAGGCCACACGCTGCCTATACCTGTCTCTGTCTCTCTCGTGCGCAATAATTATATGTCTGTCTGTCTCTCTCTCTCTCTCTCCCCTCTCGCTTTCTCTCTCTCTCTCTCTCTCTCTCTCTCTCTCTCTCTCTCTCTCTCTCTCTCTCTCACTCTCATTCTAACTTTCTATTCCCTCCCTCGCTCTATCTCTCTTTCTCCTCCTCTCGCTCGGTCGCTCTCCCTCCCTCACTCTTTCTCGCCTTCGCTCTCTCAAACCCACACCCTGAATCCCGGGTTCGTGCAGACATTTAATAACCGCTTCCAATAAACTAAGCTCTCTCAGACACGGCGACTGTTTGAAGGCGTTGTATACCACTCGACGTCGCCAGGCTGTCTGCCAAGGAGGGTACGACTGTGCAGGTGCACACACGCACACCTATTCTCCGTCAGTCCCTCATGACCGGCGGGCTTCTAGTGATGCAACCCAGGGTTTGTGAGCTACTGTTCCACCACACGTGTAACCCGCCATATGTCAGCCCTGCGCTCGCGT